CTAACAAAGAAGACACCACGCTATTCCCCTGCATATGAGATAACTAATTTTCTACATGATATGTATATATATTAATTGCAATGAAATTCTCTCCTTTTGTTTCAACTTTCAAGCCCATAAAGAAGTTTAAGGACATAATTGCTTAAGGACACACATGATTCAAAGGCTACGCATTGGATATGATATTGTTCACCAACCCGAGCAGGTTTTTTTTTTTTTTTTGGCCATCAACCCAAACAGGATTTAATTTGGAATAATATATTCATTATAAGGTATGTTTTTAATTAATCACATTATAAAAATATTGATTAAGGAGACAAAGAATGGGAGAATTGAAAAACATTTTGGTGATTATGCATTCAGTTTTCAGTGACAAAGGTGCAAAAAATGGGTTTCTCATTTGCAGAACCCCCATGGTAGGCTGGAATGAAAGCTCTAGTCAACGAGCTCACGCACGTGCCTGAGAAAACTGTGGGGGAGAGTCTTGATTAGGTCACCTGCTAGACTTCCATCCATTTCCATGCATTGCCATTTGCTGATGACGACAACTCATCTACGCTCTAGCTACAAGAAGTGACATTTATAGCTACAGTGAACTCATACATATCCAGCAAGTAGCTAAACAAATCCATCCTAAGAGAAAACCCTCAAGTTAATTGGGTAGTTTCTTGCAAGAAATGGAGGATATACAGACACTTAGAATAAACATCGTCGGAGAAAGAGAGCTGCAAATTCATAAATTAATGAAGCTTGTAAAGAAAGCCACATCCACATGCATGGACTAGATGCATTTGGAATCAAACACCATTGTTATTTGTTAGAGGTCGATGGTAATTAATCTGGGAAAGGAAGAACATAAACATAGATTTGTATCAGCATGATTCAAACATTGGGTAGTCCCAACAGATGCAAAAATTGGAACATTTAATCTAACCCCAAGTCAATGGATCAGTGATGAGAGTGATATATAGACTCATGTGAGCATTTTATGGCATCATATGTTCTTCTATGTCAGCAATCATGTTTGATATCAACTGTCAAAATTTGTTCAAAAATGAAATTTGGCTCTGAGAAGGGACCTAAGTGGCTCGGAAATGAACTGGCTTTCCTTCATCAGCTGATAATCATCTTGTTAAGGAATTTGGCTTGCTCAGGGATATATTCCAATAGTTCATCCTTGGTTATCCAAACAAAATCCTTACATTTTCCAATGTTGAATTTGTTGGTTGCAATAACTTGAGACTTGAAGAAGAATTCCTGACAAAAAGAAGAAAAACCAAGCATGTTACAATCAATAAATAAAAAAAATAGATTGAAGGGGGAGCAAAGACAAGCATAAAGCCACTGTGTGGAATAAAGTGCAGTTTTTTCCCAGAAACCATACCTTACAAGGTTCAGGAACATTCTTTGTTGGTTGCATAACCATATGCCCCATTGGAGCATTCCCAACAAAATAAGTATCAGAAAGGTCCCCTATAACAGATTTTAAAGCAGACTCTGCACACTGCAAACATTTCAAATTCATATAGGATTAAGAAAAAACAAAATGAAAGGAAGAAGTCAGTAAAAAGAAAGAAATAAGAATATGACTATTACCTTGTGTAATGTCTCCTCTGACTCAAAAACTTTTCCTGGAAAATGCCAGACGGGCTTCCCACTAGGAGCCCCATAAGTGTTACCATATAGAAGAAGATACAATCGTCTATCAAGTGTTCTCTGTAATGACCTTGAAAAATACAAGTTCAAAACTTCTTGTGATTATATACACAGTATTCAACATCACAGTAAAACAGCTCTCTTTGGATGCTTCCCCTTTTTCCAAATAAGGAAGCATTTTCTAGCAGCTACAAGCCAACAACCAAAAATCAAGTTGACCTTGCAATCCTAAATACAACATGAAAATAGCAAAATATATCTCTTCATAGAAGAATTTGAATGTGAAAGCACATGCTTAGATGGACCAGATCAGCATTTATAAAGCCAGATCAACAAGCACGTGTAAAGAGTATAACGATCCTAAAATCTTTGATCAATGATAGACAAAGAATATTTCACTGACAATGGCCAGCCAGCAAATATAAATCAGAAATCATTCAAAAAGAAACAAGTCACGGTAGGTATATTACTATAAAACAAAAATCACTGTCAGTATATATGCAAATATGTCTACTTTATTTACTCTACAAGGGAACAAGAAATCAATTGCAAGAAACAGTTCAACAAAAATGAGTTTGTTTTCATTTGAATCAACCAGTACACTGATCACAAACAGAATCCATAAGGCTGTTTTCACAAGGTTGATGGTATGTACTATTTTCCACATTACTGGGACCAAATCATTTACCAAATCTTAAATGCCATCAGAAGTTCTGATTCTAGTTCCTGTTTTTGAGCGTGACTCACTCTTCCTGCAAACTTTAAATACTGCTTCAGCCTTCAAGAGAGAAATGAATATAACAAACAAACTATCTACAAACTTTATAGAAAAACAAAAACCAAAGTGACAAGTAAAGATATTAGAGTCAATAGTGCTTTTCTGGTGGCAACACATGGGCCACAAAGTTACTACTCACTTTTTGTCATTTGTTTTGTCTGCTTCGGTTATTCTTGGAGCTGGTATATATTCAATCTGGTAGTCACCTTTTCCCTTGGTTAAAAATGTCATGGACATGATTAGCAGATTATAAAAATGCCAAAATGCCTCTGCAAGATTTACATCTTCTTTTGAGAAAAACATCTGAATTTAACTTTTACTTTTCTTATTTTGTCAATTGAATTGCTTAAAAACAAATGAAGGAAAAAAAAATATTTTTTTTTTCCGGATGTTTAGAGATGTTGAGACAATGTTTAACTGAGTAAAAAAAAAGGAAAGAAGAAGAGGTCAAATACATAATTCTTTAGGGGAAATGATACAAGAAATTAGACTTAAAATGAGAGAAAAATGGTTTCTACTTTCTAGTGGAAATCAGAACAATGGCTTTTTTCCCTTCAACAGTCCCATCAAGTAATCGAAAACCAGTCCTCCGGAATCAATCAGTCCGGCATGCACGTATTCATTAGTTATCCATGTCCTAATTCCGGCTATCTCAGGAACAGTTCGCATGGCCACTCTGAAATTAACATTCATATCCTCAAAATAAATAGCTGCTGCGACAGGTACCTTCAAGAATTAGACAAAATTAAGATTAGTAAAGTGAAAAATCCCCAGCCAATTCTAAGATTCAATAATGCAACTTTAAGATCCCCACTTAAAGATGTGAAAGGTTAAGGCGGTTTGAGTCTGACCTTGTTATTGTTTAATGAAGCTTTGTCATATAATGGAGGCCAGTCTTCCTTCTCAGCCAGTAAATGAGCGGCATCTTTAAAACGCTTCAAAACATGAATTTCGTCGAACACCCATGGGAATAGCATCTGTGGAAACCCAAAATCATATGCATATTTGCCTAGTTAGCTTATGTCTTAATTACTGAGATCAATGTCAAACAGACAGCTCTGGTACTCAATTTGTAAGTCATTGTTGTGGTTGCATTCATCTTACCTCCCCTGTAAAAAGTACAGGGCGTCCTTCGCTTGCAGCCTTGATTGCATCAAACTTGTCCCCAAATTTAGCCCTCACTCTGTAAGCAGACCATCGAGATGAAGCACCCTTAACAAAAATGAAGAGATAACCATAAAGAACTCAGCAGTGGAACTGTATATTCATTAGGGCAAAATTACTACTCAAAATTGTTAGGATTTGGTCACATAAATCTTGTTCAACCATGTATTGAATTTTTTTCAATTCCTTTTCGAAGGTAACACCAAAAGAAATACTAGCAAAATTAATTAATATTGCCCATCTAGCAAACAGAATGGCCAAATAGCCAAAAACTTACCTGACAGTAAATTGCCTCATTAAGAAGAGCTCCGAGTGGGTTTAAATCAAAACCCAACCAAATCTCAAACTACAGGTATAAAGTGAATCAAGATCAATCCCAAGAGCATGACTTGAACTTCCAAAGCATATTCATTAGAAACTAAAAGGTTTCCTTACAGCATTCAAGAAGTAGTAACTAATTTGCTTAGGTGCTCCAGGCACTATTACAGGATCCCAGACCCTCTCAAACCTACAGTTGTTATGAGAGATTAGAAATAGATATGGATAGGTACACTTGAAGTAACATTAAATTCTGAGCTTTAAGAAAACAAAAGGGGAAATTAGGTGCATAATTGTGATGTCTTACATATAATGCAAGCGTTCAAAACCTCCACTAGCTCCTAAACTGGGCATACCAAGAAGTTGCAGCCCCCTTGGGGTCAAGATGCCCCCAGATGGAAGATGAACCTAATCAACAAAAAGGAGTTAATTAATTACCATTGAGAAGATCATTTAACTAAAATTTCAGCTTTAAGTAAAATGCCATAAAGATCAGATGCAGGAGAGCCTCACCCCACCCCCTTCACATTCTGCCAAATAGTTTACAACTTCATGAACAATTTCAATATCCTGAGGAAACCTCTCGTAATACTTTTCATTTTGACGAATGACCTGCTCAAAGCAAGCTTCACAAACAGCATCTGCACTGCATCCATCTTCTATTGAAGGTATTCCTCCTGTTTGAAGCACTTGTTTCAATCCTTGTGGTGCAAAACTCAAATAGGTTACTGAACAAAAACCTCCATAGCTCTACATGAAGAATGCATTCAAACTGATTAGTTGATCACACTGGGCCATGGATTGGAGAAATACATAATACAAGATATCATACATTGAACTGTGTAATTTTAATACCTGGCCTAAAACTGTCCAGGGTCCAGAGCCAGGAACCAGGCGAACTCGAATAAACTCAGCATCATTCACTATATTGTCAGCTCGAAAATGTTTCACATAATCAGCCAAATCCTTGGCAGACTTTATTTGCAGCGTAGATGATAATGTCAAAGGAGTTGATAACCCTGTTCCTCTCTGTTAGAGAAATACATCAGCTAGCCCTGACCTGAATAATAACAGGCAAAAGTGTACTGTATTTCATCGAATGATTAAGTTTGAGGAGATTAATTAACCATGCCTGATCCATTAAAATAACACGGAACTCCTCACAAGCTTTGAGTAACCATCCACTGGCTTCGGTTGGTCTTGGACATGCGACACCAGGTCCACCTTCCAGGTACAGGAGGTATGGTAGAGCTTGATCTTCTTTTCCAACTGCAAAACAATTCTGCATCAATAGTCAAGCACACAAAACAGACATCCATCCACTTTAATTGCTTACTAATTAAAGAGCATGTAATTCTGGATACTTCAATAATGGAGCAGAAATGATTTAATTTGGTATTGATGGCGTTAGTGCTTTACCAGCGACGACTTCTCGAGCAAAAATGGAGATCTTTGGGGAAGAAACGGGGTCTTTGTAATCGAGAGGGACGGTGAAATGGTGATCTCGGAGCCGGAGCTCCGGCACCGAGAACCACTGTCCGGCGGCGTGTTCGTGCAATGAGTCGCCGGATGCGGACATTCTAGTGAGTGTGTTGACTGAGTTCCGGGAAGCGAACAATTGGAGAAGTTTGGTGGCCGGAATTAGTTTGCAAAATACAGAGGTTTAATACAAGTGGAGCGTGGTTTGCCAACTCTTCTTTTTTTCATTTTTTCTTTTTTTTGGGAGAGTGAAGCATTCACTCTGTGTCAATAGATAACAACCGAGTAGAAGTTACTTTCTTTTAAATGAAATTTTGAATTTAAATTTTATAAATAAAAAAATTAATTTTGAACGAATTTCTCTTCTAATAAGATTAATTTAATTTAATTTTAAATTAATTAAAATTTAATATAATTACAAGGTATTTAAAAATTAATATAAAAAAAAATAGTAAGTTGTCTCTTTCAAAAGGAAAAAAAAAAAAGGTGGCTAGTTGTCAAGTTGTAATATTTTAAGCAACCGACGTCAAGTCTGCACCATTACCTAAGTGCATAACTAAAAGTTAGATGCCTAAGGGTATCTTCCTTCATATTTTTCAAATTTGGGCAACATTTAGTATTTCGATATTTTTATTTTGTGCCTTAATAAAAGTGTATTTACTATATATTTTCATTATTAATATATATATAATAAAATTAAAATTTCATATTGATTTTATCAAATATCTAATAAAAAAATATCTATGTATTATAAATATTAAAATTAATATTAATTTTTTAAAATATAATATAAGTTGAGGATATAATGTACCAATCTTATCGTATAAATATCTATGTATCATAATATCATATATATCTTATATTATATTATATGTATAATTTTATTTTTTTAATTAATGTTAAAAAATATAATAGATTGATGAAGAAATATATCTTTAAAATTCCTTAAAAGTAAATTAATCTCAAAATGTACCAAAAATAATACGAGAATACTTTCACTATAAATACAAAAGGAAATAAAAAAAAGTTACCAATTTATGTAATTTTTTAAGCAAACCATGTGAAGATTACGCTATTACCTAAGAACACAACAAAAAAGCAAGACCGGAATTAGATGCCCAACGTATTCTTTGTCTTTGTTTAAGTGATAATTTCCAAGTTTTGGCAACATTTGGTGCTTTGTTTTTTTTTTGTTGTTCTATGCAAATTGATTCAACTCAACATTCTTATACTTATCTCAGAATGGAACAATCTTATCTTTTAATAGAGTTCTTTTTTTTTTTATTAATTTTTCAGTTTTTAGTAATCATATTTAATTTCAAATAATTCAGAATCAAATCATATTAGATCTCATTAAAATAAAATTTTTCTAACGTCTGTTTTTCCATTTACAATACTTTAATTCAAGATTTTACTTAAGAAATAACTAAACTTCTTTTACTCGATCAACAGATCGTTAGTAAATACTTACAATTAGTTAGGGTTCTTATAATTCAACATAAAAATACTTACAATTAGTTATTCTCACTCAACAATATGCATGAAGAACAATATACATTTAATATTACCTGACTTAGTGAGATTTTTATGGTAAAGTTGCGGGTACATGTGCTTCATTGTTATTTTAAAATTATGGATAAAACGTTATATCGTTTGGTATCAACGAATGAAGAGTTTACCATGAAATTTCGGTTCTTTTTCCCTCCCAATGCTAGTTGGGCCACGTGATTGCTCAAAAAATTGTGGGCCGATCTGTGGATATACTCAAAAGTCCAAAACAGAGGTCATGTCTATTAATTAAGTTGGACCAGCCCAAGTAGTCCTAATTTAAATTAAATTTTATGAATTGAGAGTGTTTTTTTTCTTGTATTTTTTATTATAAATATATAAAAAAATTTATAAAAATTAATATTAATTTTAATATCAATACTAAATGGATGAATTTAATTAAAAAATTAATAAATTAAATATTAATATTTACTTTTTCAATATAAATTTATGATAAAAATATATATTTAATACATTTTTAATTTATACCTTCATTATACAAATTATATAAATTTATGATAAAAAATATATATTTAATACATTTTTAATTTATATCTTCATTATACAAATTAAACAAATTTTAAATAAAAATTAAATAATTCAAATACTTTAAATATTAAAAATTTTATAAATTATGTAAATATTTTAATAAATTTTTTTATTAATTTATCAAAAATATTTTAATCCTCAGACATTTTAATTATCAAAGTTTAATAGTTTTTTCTTTAACTCTTATTTTATTTTTTTTTTATATATATTTTTTTCCAAATTGCTTTTTCCAAATTGCAAACCCTGAAGGCTGGAGCTCTTGATTGACACCTAAGAATGAGTGTAACACTTTCAGAATCGAAGCATCTTAAGCTCCTCCCTCTCCTTAAATCCCCCGAACCCTCCTCCTCCCTTCTCCTCCTCCGCCGCCTCTGCGCCGAGCCCGACCCACAACCACCGAAGCACGACGATGAAGCTATTGAAGCGACAGTAACACAAGCACTTGAGCTGCTGAAGCAAACCCCACAACATGAGTGGGCGACTTTTCAACCTCTTCACACTCTCCTTTTTTCCTCTGATCCATCTCCCCGTGTCCTCGCCGGAATCACCCGTCGCCTTCCTTCCCACTCCGCCGCACTCAACTTCGTTGACTACCTTCGGAGCAATTCGCCATTGCAAGATGCGCAACTGCTCTCTTCTGCATTTCTGGCTGTTCTCGAGCTTGCTAAAAGGGAAATGGATTCGCCAGAAATGTTATCTGAACTGTATCGGGTGTCGAAAGAGTGGAAAGTTCCGCTTAATGTCAAAGCCGCCGTACTTCTCATTCGGTGCTTCGGAAGGGCTGGAATGGTTAATGAATCCGCAGTTGTGTTCAATGAACTCGATCCGTCTCTTAAAAGCACTCATTTTTGCAATGTGTTCATTAGCTTGTTACTGAAGGCTGGGTGTATTGATGATGCATTGAAGGTGCTCGACGGAATGCTTCAACCAGAATCCGAGGTTCCACTGAATGATGCTACTGCAGACACGTTTTTCCAGGCCTTGTTGAAGGAGGAGCACAAAGGAATGTGGTTAAGTGTCGAAGAGATTGTTGAGTTGGTATTGAAATTTGGTGAACACTATGTCTTTCCAAGCTCCATTGTGATTACTAAGCTGATTGCAAGACTGTGTAGGGGCCAAAAATTTAATCAAGCTTTGGATTTTCTACGTGAATTGATGAAGCTTCATGCTCCCATTGAAGCCACTTGCTTCAATTTGATTTTGACTGAGTTAGGGAGGAATGGTGATGTTGATAGAATGAATTCACTTTTGAGAGAGATGAGGGACGCTGATATCCAGCCCGATATAACTACTTTTGGAATTCTTATAAATACATTATGCAAGTTACGGAGGGTTGATGCGGCATTGGATGTGTTCAAAAGGATGCGTGAAGGAAGTGATGGTATTTTTGTTCAAGCTGATGTTGTCACTTATACTACTTTGATTGATGGACTTTGTAAAGTAGGGAGACAAGAAGAAGGATTGGCTATGATGGAACAAATGAGGTCACTGAAAGGCTGTGCACCTAATACTGTTACCTATAGTTGCTTGATTGATGGGTTCTGCAAAGGTGGAGAGATTGATAAGGCTCGGGAGTTGTTTGATCAGATGTTGAAGAGTGGATGCTCTGCAGACGCAATTGTATACAATACTATGATCTCTGGTTTGAGTCAAGCGGGAAGGATGGATGATGCCAGCAATGTTTGGTCAAAATTGAAAGAAGCTGGATTCCACCCCAACACTGTATCCTACAATGTTCTCATTGATGGGTTCTGCAAGAGGAACATGCTAGATAAAGCTTGTGAGATTGTTGAGGAAATGGAGGAAGCTGGAATGAAGCCTGATACTGTCACATATAACATTCTGATTACTTATTTTAGCAGGGCTGGGGATTTTTCAGCTGCCCAAAGCCTGATGAAGAAAATGGTAAAGGAGGGTCTTGTGCCTACTGTTGAAACATTTGGAGCTCTGGTACATGCACGCTGCTTAACTGGACAAATTGAAGAAGCACTGAAGGTTTTCAAAAACATCTCAAAATCAAAGCTTTTGCCGAACACCATAATATACAATATTCTCATAGAAGCACTCTGCAAGAACAATAGAGTAGAAGACGCTTCCTCCCTGATGGATGATATGAAAGTGAAGGGGGTGAAGCCAAATACTTCCACGTACAATTCTATGTTTAGAGGTCTTAAGGAGAAAAACAGTTTGGAGGAAGCATTTAAATTGATGGACAGAATGATCAATGATGCTTGCAATCCTGACTATATTACTATGAAGATTCTCACAGAATGGCTATCTGCTGTTGGTGAAATGAATAAGTTGAAAATTTTTTTGAGAGGACATAGTTTGTCTGCTGCACCTGGATAGAAAGGCTGCAAGGGTAGAAGTGGGGCTTCCAATTCTACAAAATCGAATCTCCAACCCTGATGAATTGGTTATGCTAACGAGAACCCTGAAAACCTCTTGTTTACATTACTTCTCATGCTGCCATTTTCAGGATTTTAACTCCATTAAAGGCCTTTCTTTCTGGCAGTGTTCTTGTGCAATCCAGCTCCAGCAATTCTTCATGCCAGATTCCATAATCTCACTCCGGAGTGATCAAAAGAGGAGGCATACATACTTGGGATGTATGTTGCAAAGCCAATTCATAATATTTGCATACTGAGATTCATGCATCATTTAATCAATCAAGAATCACAGAGTTGTTTATAATTCAATTTAAAACTCTCGGTTGCCTGTTATGATTATGGGTTTTTTTGAACTTATATAGAAAGAATACAAGTTAATAATATTTTTTTTATCATAAATTTATATAAAAAAATATAAAAATTAATATTAATTTTAGTATCATTATTACATTGATGAATTTAATTAAATAGTTAATAAATTAAATGTCAATATTTGTTTTTTCAAGACTTTTAGAGCACAAATTAAAAAATCCTATTATTATTACTATTATATTATTGACAATTTGCTTATGGGAATCAAATATTTAGTCTGTATTAATATTGAAGATGAGACAAAAGCCAAAACAGGGGAACAAGAATATGAATTTACATGCTAGACTTAGGAAGGAGCCCTTTGCTTGGTCCCAATCAGATTTGCCAATATATGTTGACTTGTAAAATAACAATGTAATTATTTTCCCCTCTTCTCTTTTCAAAGACCACCCAACAACACATCTATGCTTTTAGGAATATACCGTATATATTGGAAGTAGAAAGATAATAAACAAAGCACAAATATTTATTCACCAAAAAAAGAAAAAAATGCACAAATATTTGTTACCCACATGAACAAGGATCAAATTGAAAAATCAACAACCATATATGAAATATAAACAAAATGGTGATGATGCTGATAATTTAACATCCATCTACACATTCTAAGATCAAAATTAGTCCTAGCTTTATAACTAATTCTTCAGAAAATGCAACAGTAATTTAGTTTAAAACTATATTGTACTAGCTTTATCTCTATAATGAAATACAAAATCAATGATCACTTTAAAAAAAAAAAAAAAAACATTAGATTCTAGCCCAAACATTACAGTGATTATTTCTTCCTCAAAAAAGTCTTAAAAACATATACAGGACAAGAAAAAGGAACTGAAAGCCGCTTTTCCGTTGAATTTCATATGCCGCCGGCAGTGGTAGCTGCATTATTGGCAATCCAAGGAAGGCCAAAAGTAGCCGGAAAGTGATCAGAAAAGAAGTCTCCACTGACAGGACTGGCGAGACCTTCTAAACCCTCAAAGAAATCATCGCTCAACGCCGCATCTGATATCCCCAAATCATCTTCTTCCTCTTCTTCCACCATATCTTCTATGCTCTCCGCCCTTGTATTCTGGGGTATGAGCTCCTCATCCACGGAGGTAGCCGGGGAAGAACTGGTGGTTGGTTTGGCAGTGGAGAGATTGGGGGATTCAGAGACGGGGGTCGTTTGCGGGGTGAAGGGCTTTTGCCTTGTGCTGCCGGCGAGTGAGTTCCGGTGCGTTGGAACAGGGTGGTTGTGCTCTGCCGTGTATGTTACTATGAACATAGCCGGGTTGGATCTGTTTCTTTCCACCTGTTTCCTGGCCAAACACCCCTTTGAACTGCTACATCGGTAATATCCTCTGTTACAAGAAACAAAAAAACTGAGCTTAGTAAATTACAGTTAAAACAAAACCCAAATGCATAGTGACGAAAACAGAAACTTCTTCTTCTTCTTCTTAGAGCTATACCTTGGATAAGGGGAGCCCTTGATGGGTTTTTGACCATATTTCCGCCATGCCCACATGTCTGATGAAAGACCCTCCGCCGGTACTTGGCAAACCCTTTTCAGCTGGTTCTTTCTGTTCAAAGGGAAAGGGGTAAAAGGCAAATTAGAAATTTACAAAAAAGAATAAAAAAAAAAAAAGTAAGATGAATCAATCAAGAAGCTAAATTTATGAAATGGGTCTGAGGAATCTAAGCTTACCTTCTTTTGGATCTAGAGGAATTGGAATTGGAATTGGAATTGGAAGTGGTGGAATTGTTGGTACTAGTACTGGTCCTACTAACCAAAGAAACAGTTCGAGACTGCTTGGGCTTATGCTTCTCCTGTTTAATCTGCACTTGATCTTTCGACTCAAAAAGAGAAGAAATTGAAGAAACGGGTGTGCTTTGCAGAGAAAGAGGCTGAGATTTAGGGAAGAAAGGCTTGTAAAGCTCATGCAGCTCCTTTTCAACATTCCTGGCTTCAAAAGGATCCGGAAAAGAAGAAAGCGGGGAAAACCCATACAGAGGATGCAAATCAGCTATGAAAGAACCGGTGGCAGTGGTGCTGCAAGTGGTGGTAGTGGTGGTGGCGCAGCCTCTCACCACCGCATGCAGATCCCAATCATCCCCCATGGTTTCTGACTTCTCTGCAAGAAACTGTTGGAAAACAGAGAAAGCAAGAACAGAGAGAGGGAAGACAAAAGAAGGCGCTGACTTTTGGAGAGAGAGAAAAATGGTGAGGATTGGGGGGTTAAGGTAATGAGTATGGTTTAGAATTTATAAGGGGCTGGAAATTTGGGAATCTCAAAGCTTATCTTGTCTTTTTTATTTTTTATTTTTTCTCTCTCAAACTTTCTTTTTGGTTCTTCTCCGACATTGGAAAACCGGTTTGGTTTTTATTGTTCTTGGTTTTTGGGTTTGACTTTGAGACAATGTCAAAGGCAGATTTTATTACATTAGGGGGAAGAAAAGTCCACGCGGTATATGTCTTTCTCTCCTCTCTCTCCGCTCTTTTTTTTATTAATATCTTAATATTTAATAATTATATTTTAAATTTTAATTAATTTAAAATTAAACGTATCAAATTTCATTTAAAAGTAATTTTTTTATGTTTATTTTTATTTATAAGATTTAAATTTAAAATTTTAATTTAAAAAATTAAGTTTTTTTTACTCAAATTAATAAATAAATAATTTTCGCTTTTTTTCTAACTTCTAAGTGGAGGGAGGAAGGCCCATGAAAACCGTGGGATGCCAGTTAGTTTGGGTGCCCCTATCAAATTTCGTGGCCGGTGCTACTCCCAATGTAGCGACCTTTTCAACCTTCAGGTCGGGCGCATGTTAAGCGCGTTCCCAAATATTAGTAGAATTCTTTTTTTTTTTTTATTCTCAATGGTAAAGTAAAATAAAATAAAATTTTTTATCTTATATTTTTAGAATATAAGATAAAAATATTTTTTTATATTTTTTATTCTAAATATATGTAATATAAAAATTAATATTAATTTTAACATTAAATAAATTTAATTAAATAATTAATAAATTAAAATTAATTTTTATTTTTTAATATAAATTTATGATAAAAATATATATTTAATATATCTTTAATTTATATCATTAAAATGACAAACCCAAATAAAAGTTATTAAATGAGAGAGTTGACTTTTATATAATTTAAATTATATAATATTGTAATGATTTAACTTGCTGTTTATATTATTCACTTTAATTTCTTTAATCTTATAATTTTAAAATACACTAATAAAGGACAACATGTGTTAATTTATATATCTAGTATTTTTTTTTATGTTTGGTCATCATGAGATTTATCTAGAGGTGCTCAGCATCTTTATTGAAATTTCTCTCACCATCGTTCAAGAAAACATGTAAAGTGACTCTAATATCATTTGAAACAACCAAAATTACTATTGATATTGTCCACTTTGATTCCTCAAATTTCACGATTTTAAAACACATTAAATAATAAATAATAGAATTTAATCTATATATCTAATATCTTTTCCATACTTTATTAAAAATTTTAAAACATCACAAATACCCTTTTTTATATAAAAAAATGTTTTATAATTTATTTTATGTAAATTATAGAACACAGATCCCATGATGAGTGAGATTTTTTGTGGAATTAGTGAAAGACATCACCATTTATAAAGTTGAGGTAATTATAATCGGGTTTGTCTAATTTTTAATATATATGTT